AGATGGCCTCCTGGGGTCCCTGGGAACGGCAGCAGGGCGCAGACAGGTCAAGTTCAGTCGCCAGGTGACCCGCTGGTGCCAGGGCCAGGCCCCAGGTGGCCCCCACGCCCGTCACGTGGGTAACAATGAGAGCGCACCGACTCATAGTCCGCAGCGCTGATCTTGATGAGGTCCTTCAAGGCCTTGTAGTCCACGTACTCCCCAGCCCACTCCTCCCGGGACTTCTCCAGCAGGTATTTGCCGAACTGTGGGGGTGGAGCCGAGTGAGGTATTCAGGGTGGCTCTTGGCCATGCACAACAAAGAGGAAACCCTGGGCCTGAGGACACGCTCGGTGACGGCATGCCGGAGAAAATCCATATACCAAACCTTCATGACGCTGAATGGGGTTGGTAGCCCAACAATGTCAGGGTGTGCTCAAGGGGCGCCCGCCGGCCTTCTGTAAAGCAGTCGACCAGGCCAGGGCTCGACAAGGGTCGCCTCCAGCAGCTCGCACAGCACCGAAGGAGAGCGATCTACGCTTCCTGGATTCACTTGTTAGTATTCACAATCGGTTCATCCAAGCCCATGCAGCACGTTGCCTGAATGATGCCCTCGACACCCCAAGCCTTCTTCTCAAAAGGCATCTTGGGGGGCGCGAGATGGGAATCTTCCGCACCCCCCGCTGCCGAAAGCATGACCTGGGTGGCTGTACAGCCAGAACCCAGGGGCTACCAGGTGCACATGCATGTTATTTCTATGCCAACTTGACATAGGAGCGCCCCAGATTCATCGGAGTCAAAGTCCGTCGCGCCACTCCAACCCTGTCCTGCCAGGGGCCTTGGACGGTTGCTTCTCCCTGACTTGGTGGCTGCATCCGGGAAGATCCAAAAGGGCTTGAGCAAACTCGGCGCCATGTCTGCCCAACCGGCACTGCGTCGCACGGAGGCCAAGGCCTTCTTCGGTGAGGAGCCTGATTGGGGTTTCGGTCGGTGTGCGAGCCGGGAAGTGGAGGCTGGCGTGGCCAGCGTCCCTGCCGTGTCCTGACAGGCCTCTTAACCCAACACCCTCACAGCCAATGAGCGTACGTTTCTGCATTGGATGAACATGGCGGTGACCACAGGCAGCATCTCCGCAGCCCTCCTCGGTGCGTTTGGGGTTATGGGGTGGGCGAGGGGCTGTCCTCCTCCTGGGAGGGTTTGGGTGCATCGGAGGATGCGTGCGCGGCCTTGCGACCTGCCATGCCCTGCTCGGCGGTCCAATAAACCGGTCCAAAGCAAGCGTGAGCCTGCGTGCGCTCCGCAAACCTGGACGATGCCCTCAGGACACCTGGCTTACATGAAACCCCCCTCCCCCTCCCCCTCCCCTCCATCCACCCGCAGGCGTGGCGGGGCATGCGCACAAGCACTGGGGCACAGACCTGACCACCCGCACCATTGCCATCCGCCTGCTGGCCCTGCTCATGATGGCGGTGTCCATCGCCATGGCCCTGTACGCCGCCTACAACTTCAAGCGCCGGGGGGACATGCTGCAGCGCAAGCTCGACGGGCCCTACGACAGTCGTGTGCTGCCGGTGACGCTCACCGTCGTGCTCATGACCTTCCTCACCCTGGTCTGGATAGGCAGCGTCGTGTCCTACACCCACCCCTGACCTGGCCGTCGCTGCGTGGGGCGGGGAGGGGGTTGGACTCACTCCTTGAAATCCCTCGGAGGAAAGGTGGAGGCTTAGACCATGCATGGCTCTAGCACTGGTCTCTGGAGGCGTGTGTCCCCACAATCCTGCATGCCTGCAGCCCCCTCCTATCAACCGTCGTCCCGGTCGGCCAGCCGGCCCCCTTCTTTGAGAATCAATCGGTGCCTGTGCTCAGGCGCACCCTTGCACTTTGCGCTGTAGGTCCCCTGCTGTACATCGGGTCACGGGCGATTGCAGGATGAGAAGGGGTGCAATGGAGGGGTGGGGGTGGGGGGGGTGTGAGGGAAAGCAACTTTGAGTATCTGGCTCCCGCGCTGGGCCGCTCAGGCCAAGCCCGGGATACGCAGGCCGCGGCTCCCGCCGGACCGGCCAGAGTCGCGGGGGCTGGGCGACGGCGCGGTGGCCGGCTCCGGGGTCGCGCCCCCAGACTCCCCCACCTCGCTGGCCTGGGGGCCGGGCGGTGAGCCGGCGGCCGCCGCGCTGAGTGGTCCGGCGCTGGTGGTGCTCCGCGCGGGGGCGAGCAGCGCGGGGGCCGCCGCCTGCACCGCCGTCAGCTTCTTGGTCAACTGCAGAGTTTGGGAAGTGGTGGGGGGTTGATATGCGAGGGTAGGCGACGGGCTAAGGGGAGGTTGGTAGGGAGCGCCGAGAGGCAGCCACCCGTGCCTGGGTCCCGTCGCAAACAAAAAGCGGTTCGCAAATGCAGGCCCCGGGCGCCGCACCCTGCAACATCCCCCCCACACATGACTGTCCTCGCAGCCGCCCGGCCTCGCCGCCCCTTCTCAACCCTCGTCGGCAAAGGAACACACCTCCAACTGCTTCTCGCGGGCGCGAAGCAGCGCGCGCTTGCTCTCCAGGTAGTCCCCCTCCATCTCCGCCATGCGGATCTTGGTCATCACCAGGTGCTCCATGATCATCTGGTTCTCGGCCCGCACCGCGCGCAGCTGCGAGAGCCAGGTGGGAGGGTGGGTGGGAGTGACAGGGCGTGAGGGTGCGATCGATGAGGCGTGGGAGCCAGGCGCGAGGCACGGCTGCAGCCGCTCGCAAAGTACAACGGTGCTCGAGTCCTGTCCAGCGCCTGCAGCGCACGATGCCGGCACTCCCCTGCCCTTCCCTGCCCTCCTTTGCTAGGCTGCCCCCCCCAGCCCCCCGTCGGCCACCCACCGTTCCACAACCCACCTCCTCCTCTGCCTCGCCGGGGGCAAGGGGAACGACTGGCGCCGCAGCTTTCGCGGGCACGCCGGCCGCGTCGCCGCCGCCCGCACGCCCCGCCTCGGCGTCGGCGCTGGCCTCCCGCGACTTGGAGGAGCCGCCGCCCAAGCCCCGGAACATACGGCCCAGGGTCGCACGCGCGCGCCCCCCCTGCGACTTGCCGCCCCCGGTCTTGGCGCCGGGCGTGCGCTTGGGCGTGGGCTCCTTCAGTGGCGTGACGTCGCCTGCGTGGAGGGGTCCGGTGGTCAGGCATGTTCAGGGTGGGAGGAGGGCGGGGCTCAGCGTGTCGTGATGTTGAGCAGGCACGGCCGCACCACATCCATGCCCACCGTCTTCCCCCCCCAACCCACGGATTCAGCCCCACCCGTGCGCACGGCGGCGTCCACCCGCGCTTCAATCTCCGCCTTGTCCTGGTCCGCCTCCTCCAGCTCCCCCGCCATCTTCCCGATCTGGGCCTCCAGCAGCGCGCACCGCGCCTCCAGCTCCGCGCGCGCGCGCTTGAGGGCGGGCAGGTCGCTGGAGGCCGCGTAGTCCTCCCAGGCCGCGTCCGCAGCGGCGCGGTCGGCCGCCAGCGCGCGCGCGGCCTCAGAGGCCGCCGAGCCCGTCGGCGACGCGGGGCCTGCGGGCAAGGGGGCGGCGGCACCGCCCCTGTCTGCTGCGGCTAGTGCAGGTGACACGGCCTGCTCGGCAGTCGTCGTACGGGAGACGCTGGCCGACGCGAAGCCGCCCGCCTGGGGTATCACGGTCTGCGCGGCGGTCTGCGCGGCGGTACCCGCCAGCGTGCCAGCCACCTGCGCGCCGCCCGCCCCGTCCTGATGCGCCGCCCCGGGCTGGGCAGGGTGCGCCTGGCTGCCCTGGCTCGCCGCCCCGCCCTCGTCCTGGGCCATTGCCGCGTGAGGGCTGCTGCGCGGCGTCCCCCGCCCGCCGGACCCCGGCCGCACGCCCGTTTTCAGCTGCGCCGCCTCCGCCTCCGCGACCGCCAGGGCCGCCTGCAGGCCGGCCCGTGCCACCAACGCGCTCAGCAGGCGCTGGGTGGCCACGTCCCCATCTTCAGTCGCCCCGCCTGGCTCCACCTCATCTTCGCGCGAGGACGCAGGAGCCCCACCCGCCGGCGCTCCAACCAGCCTCGCCACCAGCCCATCCCGCCTCGAGGCCAGCTCCTCCGCGCGGGGTCCGTCCACGCCTTCGCCTGCCAGCTCCTCCTGCGCCCGCACCAGCTCCGCCTCCAGCTCGGCCGCGGGCTCCGCTGCCGGATCCGCCGCGGGCTCGCGCTCGCCGGCCTCCTCGGCGGCGGCAAGCTCGCCCCCCGCCGCCGCGCCTCCTTGTGTCACGCCCTCGCCTGCGGCGCCTTTCACCCCGCCGCCGCGGGCGGCGCGCAGCGCGGCCAGCGCCGCGCGGCGCGCGGCCTCCGCCGCCTCCAGCCGGGCGTGCAGCTCCGCCAGCCGCGCCTCGCTGCGCGCCAGCGCCGCGTCGGCCTCCGCGTCTCTTCTCGGGGACGCGCGGGCGTCGGCATCCACGGAGGCGGCCGAGGTGGCAGGGCCGGCGCCGCTCTCATCGGCCATGGGACCCACGCCCCCTGCGGCCGCGCCGGCAGCAGCCGCGCCCACAGTGGCCTCGCCCACAACAGCCACGCTGGCCGCCAGCTGGCCGCGCAGGGCGTCCCGCTCCTGGAGCACGGCAGAGAGGCGAGCCTGCAGGTCCTCGGCCGCCGCGCGGCGCGCACCGTCGGCCGAGGCCTCGGCCGCGCGCGCGCGCGCCTCGCTGCGGCCGGGCGAGGCGCCCATGCCGGCGAGGCGCGGGCCCTCGCTGCCAAACTCCACGGGCTCGCTCCGCGCCACCAGCTGCGCACCGGGGGTTGTTGCCGGGTGGGGAGTCGTGCGTCGTCACATGGGCATTGGGTTCCCCCATCCCACTTCCCACCGCACTCCCTCCTGCCCCCCCACTCAACCTCCCCTTTCCTCATCCATCCCCCTCCCCTTCCCACC